CATTGAATCGTAGACAGAACCAAGATTATCATAAATATGAGCAAAACTAATATGATCTTCAGGAAGCGTTTTTCGTCCAATATCGATTGATTTTTCAAAAAATGATAATGCCGTTGCATAATCTCCTAAGGAATCATGTACTGAACCAATGTTGCTATAACTCATAGCTATATCAGGATGATTTGATGGTAGTGATATTTCTCGAATACTAAGAGATTTGTTATGATATTCAAGTGCTTTTAAATGATCTTCTAGTGAATTAGATATTGTACCCATGTTAGCATAACTTTGTGCTAGATCTACATGTGTAGAAGGAAGAATTTTTTCTTGAATTTCAAGAGATTTTTGATAAAATGAAAGTGCAGTATCTTTATCACCTAATGCACTGTAAGATGATCCAATATTATTATAAATACTACCGAAATCTGGATGATTGTCAGGAAGAGTTTTTTGCCTTATTGTAAGCGTCTTCTTGTAGAAATTAAGTGCAGCTGCATAATCACCCAATGAACTATAAACTGATCCTAGATTATTGTAGGTAGTAGCGATTGAAAGATGATCAGGTGAATGAAACTTTTGTTCAATTTCAAGCGCTGTTTTATAGTAATGTAGAGCCGAAGAATTATTTCCCATTTTATGATATACACTAGCCATGTTATTATAGGTAGACGCCAGCGATGAGTCTTGCTCAGAGATATTAGCTTGTTTGATATCAAGTGCCTTTTGATAATATGATAATGCAGACATATAATCACCCTTTTCACTATAAACATATCCAAGTTGATGATTAAGATGAACTTGTTTGCGCCATGATTTTTCATTTTCAGAATTGAGTTGTGCATCATAAATTTCCTCAGCTCGGTTAAATTCACCCATTTTTAGCATCAAATGTCCAATACGATCTAAAGGAGTACCACCTTCAATTTCTTTTCTAAAATAATCAGTTAATGTTTTAAGTGCTTGATCATGATCACTTGTTAAATTTAGATTAACAAGCCAATATTGATCTTGAATATGTTGAACATCGTTAATACGAAAAACCGTATGCATAGAAAAAAGAATTTCATTTTCATATTTATAAGAACTATTTTCTGTTAAAAAAGCCAATGGAACTGATGATATTTTTGGATTGACGATCATTTCGAAGAGTACACCATTAACTTTTGGATTTTCTGCTGCACGAATTGCAAATTGTGTTGAAACTTTTAAATCAATACTTGTTGATAGAAAATTGTTAAATGAAAGAAGACCACTGATGCTAGTTTTTAGTTTTTCGAACTCATCTAACGACATACCTTGTCCACGATAGACAGTTATTACTTCATGTTGATTCTTTTGTTCATTATATAGTTTTTCAATTTGTTTATGAAGATCCGAAATAAAAAATCCCATTTTCATAATCGTTTCAATATCTTGACATCTTAATGCACGATTCATCATTGAATATAAAAAAGATTCTTTTGTATACCATTCAATAGCTAATGTTTTATTATATTCAAGTTCAAAGTCATCAATAAGACTCAATTGATAATCATCATCAGCATATGTAATACGACAATATTCAACAAGTTTAGTTTTTGCTTTATAATCATATTCTATATCGAGTAGATTTTCTTTAAGTAATTGTGTATACATAAATGTTTTATCGAGTTCATTTGATTCATAATTTTTTTTCTCAATATCTTTCTTTGTTAAAATACTTATCGAAGTTAAACTACCTATTTGACCACTATCAAATTTAATAGCGTGAAATATTTGTTCCATATGATGATAAATTCCTTTGACTTTTCCTGCCCATTTATTAGCCCAATGTATTCGAAAATGTTTCTCTGGATTGAAAATATAAATACATTCAAGTTGTGGTTTATTGAAAACTAATGGTATGAGTTGTTCACCGATTGTATCCGAAACAATGAGAAAAACTGTCTTATCACTAATCTTATCAAGATATTGAATACATTCGTCAGACTTAGTAAATTTATCAATAACATTAGTAATACGTTGAAGTTTAGTAATTGAATCTTGATAAAGTTTCTCAGTTTTATGTATATAAGGATCCACCCAAATAATAACCAAATTTTGATTGAGATCATATTGTGTATGAATAGATGGATTACGAGATTTTTTACCTTCATTAGATAGTTTTACTACTGTCGAGTTGCTTGTGGAAGTTGCGCTTGTTATTCTATTGTTTGAAGCCTGTTGCGTTGAAGAACTGGGCATTTGCTTCTTTTGGCTGTTCGTCTCACTCTGAGATGTTGTGGAATTAGGAACAACTTTTGTGGCTTTTAGTGATCCACAACCCATGGCGAATAATATAATCTGTTTCTATTGAAAGATTATTTAAATGTACGTTTCGAAGTAACAAAATTACCTTTGTATATGAGTAGTTTTTATTTATTTGCGCACTTGAGATTCAGTGCACTTGCAAATTTTATTTTATGTTATAAAACTAACACTATTGGCTATGGCCAGAGCTTATCTTTCTTTTGATATTATAGTATGTAGTTTTGTCTAGAGAAAGAAGAATTGACATTGTTAAGACAAAGATATAGAGATAAGTTGTAAATTCAAAAGTCGTCGTGAGATCCTTATCGATGTGAAAAAATCCAAGTAGTGAGTGTCTATAACGAAATATTGAGACTAGAAGAATTAATATTGAATTTCTTTTCTTATTCTCTCAACTGAATGGAGTGTCATAGGGTGTGGGTGTAAGTATTCACGTAATATAAATTCACCCACACCCTATCGGTACCTCACATTCATCATTACATGCTTGAACGCACCCCAAGCAGACAAAACTTTTCGAAAACGTGTGTACATACGCAGAATTCTAAAATCCAATCGGCGAAAACGTACAGTTTTTTTTCTGTTGAATATTTGCAGACGTTTAAACACCTTGAAAGCTGGCTTTATAAGCGTATAAACGCTCATTGGCCCGAAAAACACATTTCATGCATCAAAAAGTTGAGATTTTTGCGCGTTTTTCACAACACTTATATCATTCAAGGTTCTGCAATAATTACTGACCACGTTCACGCTTCAAAATTAAGCGAACTGGACGTTATTTTCTCCACATATTTGTTAGA